AGCATCTATGAATATTTTCCCACCTTAATTTGCCATCAAAGATATACTTTTGTCCATCTATCATCTTACAACTAATTTTAGAAATTCTTGTAACAGTGTTATTTATTCAACTTGATATTTGTGTAAGGAAATGCAAATAGCACAGAAATCCTCCTTTCTTCACACATGAGAAGGGTTGGATTTTTTTTATCTTTATGTAGTCTTTTGCAGAATTCCTGATTGTGCCATCTGTTAATCTTGAAAAATGGAATTAACTTAGTGTCTACTTTGATATCTTAGAAAATTTCCTTGTTTTCTATAATTGCTACAAGTTCAACCAAACTTGAGGCAATTGCTGTGTGACTGGAGAAATTGCTGGTTTCTTAAGCTTTCTGTTGTTGAAAGCTTAGTACACTCTTAGGCAATTTTTACCACCACATGCAAAAAGTGAAATAGTTTTTCATTCTTTCTTCTGAAGTTTTCAAAAATAGCATAGATGGAAAACTAGATGTACAGTGGCACCTTGGTTCATGAACTTAATTCTTTCTACAATTCTGGTCACAGAATTCATTACATGATTCTGGCTGCAACCAAATTACAAGCATATTGCGTATGTACAGTAAGTGGTACATCCACTGTCCAATAATTTAGGATTAAGTTTAGCATTAGGGTTGGGTTAGTGTTAGGGTACATGCTTGCAATTTGGTTGCAACCAGAATTATTGAACAAATTCTGTGACAAGAATCATGGAAAGAATTAAGTTTATGAACCCAGGCACCACTATATAGCACTAAAAAAAAAAAAATCCTACCAAAATCTTGAAAATAAAATATTTTGTTTAGGTAATGTCAACTAATGAATCTATTTCTAAATGCATTTCTAGCTAAAAAATGGCAGTTATCACAATTACTTGATTTTGTATGTTGCATGTACAATGTGTATATCCTGGTATTTTATATGTAATGAAAATTTAAGATAAACACTTTATTATTAGCTCTTCATACTTTTAAATTGTGTGTGTTTATATATTTACATTAATGCTTCTACTTAGGAAAATTAGATTTGTAATTTGAAGATCACACAAGTGGATCAAAGGTCGGTGGTAATAGCTTCCATGTTCAAGTTTGTGTCTAGTCTGTGTCTACACAAATAAAATCCATGTCTTTACATCCAACTTTACTAATACCACTGAAATGAAATTTTTCAATTCTACAAATTGGCTTTTCCTTTTTCTCTCATTCTTCATTGAATAGTCTATCTTCCTTTTTCATTTTTTCTTCTTTGACTTATACACAAGTATATAATGCTGAAATTCCATTTTGATCTATGTAATTGCCTTTTTGATGAAGTATTTTGTTGTTTTATAGTCACTGAAAATATGGATGAGTGAGTGAAGAGAATTACTTGGTATTTTTAAAGGTGATAAAGATGAACTTGGGAAATGGGTTTTTAAAAATATTCTTTACTAAGATTGAAGTTGGTACCTTTTTTTAAAAATTTTGCTTTCAGGGTGGGACACTGAACAGATTAAAGAGGCACACTTAATACATTAAGAGGTCTTATATAAGGTTGTTTTTGGTTTGTTTGTTTGCTTGTTTGGTGTTTTAAGACAGGGTCTCATTATGTAATTTAGGCTAGCCTTAAACTCACATTGATCCTCTTGCCTCACCTCACAAGTGCTGAGGTTAGGAGTGCACCACCATGCCTGGCTAATAAGGTTGTGAATTAATTCATTGATTCAATCTTCAGTTGGTACTAAAAATCTAAGATTAGACTTTTGGGTTGTTTTTGTGGCTTTCCACTTCATTTTGAAGAAACATTCAGAACAACAATAGCATAAAGAGCTCCCAATTTGAAGTGAGACTGGTTGTAATGCACTAAAAGTTTTCAGTTCTAGTTCTAAAACTTTTCAAGCAAGGTTCTGTTTCATACCAAATTCCAGACCCACTGCTGAAATTCTTTCACTTCTCCAATCATGTCATGGTCTTGCCTATAGATGACTTCCCTCTTGCTGTCTAGACTGCTCCTCCCTACACATTTGCACATCCCTCTTCTCTTTGTGTGGCTCACTCCTACTCATCATTCTGAATCTAGTTTAGCTTTTCTTGCACAAGTCTAGGCTGATTATGTTACATAGCCCTTGGTGACCTGCTTTCAAATAACCCAAGCCTATCCTTTTATTTTATTGAAATCATTCATTTGTTACCCCTTTTATTCATTTATCTATGAGATTCACAGGATGAGAAACTGTAAAGGGGACTGGAACAAGATGGCTTGAGTTGAAAGAAGAGAATATGGAAATGAAATTTAGGCAAAACTCTGAGGAAAAATAAGAGCCCCACAAGTTGGCCTGAGAAAAAAATATAGGAAGGAGAGATATCCTGTAGCAAGAAGCAATTGAAATGTTTCTGAACAGTCAGTACTAGAGTTGAGTTCTTGTTGGCTCCTGCTGGTGCATAATTCATAAATCTTCTGTAAATTGTGTTATGCTGAACACTTATGAGTTAATGTGCATTTAAAATTAGAAAAGAAAGTGGGTTTTGCTCCACATCACAGGTGATAGTAACCCATGGAGAGAATAGCAGCTGCAGGTACCCAGAGTGACTGTAAGGAGCTAAAAGACATAGGAAAAGTAGGTTGTAATGTGGACGACCTAGTGAGAAAACAAGAGAGAACCTTCTCACCTGAAAGGTCTTATAACATATCTCTAAATATGAAAGGAACAGGCAACCCTTTAGGACTTCAGGTCATCAGATTGCATAAAGATGATTAATGGAAATATCTGAGCCTATGTCTTCCTTGCAGTCTTTCAAATCCTTACCAGTACAAAATTGATTGTTTATGCATCACCTAATTCTCTGTGTCCAGGACAGCAATTATATTTATCCTTAAAGACAACTGAGGAGATTCCATGGGCTTAATAGTCTCGATATCTATTAGGATATTTTGTATCTTGTTCAAATATGTCTCAGGTATCCTTGGATCTTTCACTTTAAAAACATCTTGACAACTTGTACACACAGATGGTAGGGATTTATTAAAATTGCATTAGATCCATAAATTAATTGGGGAAGAAGTAAAATCTGTTTTACAATATTGTCCCTTTTGATGTCTTTCAATAAAGCATAAGTTTTTTCGTAGAGTTCTTACATGACATTGTTAAATTTCTTCCCTATTGATTTAGATGGTGATGCTAGTTTATATAGGGTACTTTTCACTGCTTGTTCCTAGTGTACAGAGAATCATGCTCAGTTGAATTCAAGTTCAAGCATTATCTTTATGTTGTTTTAAGTTCTATCTTGACAATCATATGACTAATGAATGATTTATCTTGTTTCTACCTACTCATAGAACTTTTATAAAGAAAATACTTGTTCTTGTCTCCCTGTGTTGTGCAGAACTTTAATAAAAAGTTGAATAGAAATACTGAGAATACAGTCCTTATTTTGTCCCAGTCTTAAATCTTATAAGATTATAATCTTAATCTTATTATAATCTTATGGTCTTAAATCTTATAATTATAATTTTATAATTATATAATTATAAAATGTTAACATTTTACTGTTCAATATTAATCTGCTATCAGTTTTTAATTTAACAAATTTCCAGGTTTAAAGTAAGGATAAAAGTTTCCTGCTCATTCCTAAAGTTTTTCTTTTTAGAACATGAATGTATATTAATTCATATCTCAAGTTATATCAGAATCTAAGATTCTAAGATATAATCAATGCTTTTTTCTCTCGGTATCTGTTATTGTAATGAATTTCAGTAATTAATCTTCAACTATTAAAGTAGCTTTGCATTTCTTAATTGTGATATATTATAATTTTTAAATGTTTTCATTTTAGTGTTATTTTAATAGAGAATTAATTAATATTTCTTCAATTGTCACAAGATTTTATAGGTTATTTAAAATTTTTAAGTTAGATTTGGAAAGATAATATTGTAGGTATTTGTTTAAATATTCCAAGTTTCAAAATGTAATGCCATTAAATTAATCACAATTTCTCCTTATATTTTCAAGTTTTATATTTTTATAACTTATATTACTTTTTAAAAATGACATATGTAAATCCTCTCTATTGTTTCCCTGCTTCTGTATTGCTTTTTTTTCTTTTCTAATATAGGCATTGAAGTTATGAGTATAAAATACTTACTATCAGTTTGAATTGGTAGCCTGACAATCATGTTAGCTTCCTAATGCTGCCAGAGCACATTATCACATCACACCTTGTGTCATTAGGAACCCAGTATACTGTCTCACAGTTCTGTAGGGCAGAGTCCTAACTTCAAGGTGTAAGTGTGCCTTGTCCATCCCAAGGGAATCAGGACAGAGGCCCTTTCCTTATCTTTCTGCCTCTGGAGTAACCTGTCTGCCCTGACGCATGGGTTTTCCTTGTAGCACTTCAAACTTCCCTTCCATTATTTCACTCTGCCTCAGTCTCTGGCCCTCCTGCCTCCTTTTTTATGAAACCTATGCAATTATAGGGTCCATACAAATAATCCAGGATAATCTTCCAATTGCAAAATCTTTAACATGATCACATCTGTGAAGTCTAGAAGTGGTGTCTAATCCACTATGAAACTCCTCATTTGCTGAATTATTTAGTTAATTATTGTATTTTTAATTTTCAGATTGTTTTCAATATGCTTGGTCTTTGGTCATATTTTAAGGCCCTTTCCTCATATATTTTAGCTTTATTTCCTGTTACAGATAAGCATCTTACAAAGTATACTGTCTTGCTTCTTTAACCAAGTACCCAGCTATACTTAAATGATCAGTCACATAGACTAGTTGATTAAAAATCTGAAGTCATCTTTATTAGTTAAATGAAATACAGTTGGAAAATTAAGAAAATTTCAACATAGTATGGAAACAACTACAGTTTTTAACCCATTGTTGGAAAGGAATTCTGTTTTCTACAATAAAGTTTTATAATTTTCAACACAATAAATAAAATTTTAAGGGGTAAATATTTATGATTTCTAAGTTAAAATGTGATTTTAATATAAAACAAAGAGATTCTTAACAGATTTAATCTATAAGCGAAAGATAAACACCTGATGACTTTGCCAATAAATTATAGTTTTAATATTTTATAGTTACATTTTCATTTCCATAGTACCAAAAGCAGTAGAGAATATCCTTGGGATAAAATAAAGGCATCTTAAAGTTAAAAAGACAAATGCAAGGATATCCAAACTGTGATTGTCAGCACAGCTAAAATTTCAGATAAACAACATACTCACACCAAAATATTATTTTTAAAATAAAAATAAAAATTTAACTGGTTGTTGTTTTATTTATATTTAGTTTTTGCTAAATTTGGATAACTTGATCAAAAGTTCTCTAACTTATTATCATTCAATATCTAAAATAAATATTATTTCACTGTAACATCACATTACTCTATCAACCTTGCTTCTTCCGTCTCCATTTTCCAAATTCATACAGAAACATTATAATATTTAATGCATAAATAAATACATAAATAATAAATAGATGAATAGTTACACTTGAAGATAATTTATGTGATCATGAAAAAATTTAAAGTGCTTCCATGTGTCCCCATGACATCCCTGTGAGGAAGGATGGTGGCAGATTTTTCTTCCACAGGGGAGGAATAAAGGGGCCTCCAAGGAGTAGGTGAGCAGGGAATCATAGTCCTGGCCAGCAGAACTAGGATGCCAGATTTAACTCATAATAATCAGGCTTTTCCAGCTAAACTTAAATTTACAGAAAACATCACTGTCTCATCATCTACCAACCAATTCCTGAGGTAGAAAGCCAGTTATTCTCCTAGTGCTTGATCTCAATCTTGTTCTTTGTACAATGTCCCATAAAATATCTAAAATATACTTATATTTACAAAAAGATTTATTGTTTACCATAGATTCAAATAAATAAATTTTGGTATATGTATATCCTAGATATTGCATGGTACAATGCAAAAAACTATTCGCTGTTTTCTGAAACTCAAGTTCAGCTGGGTTCCAATGTTTTATCTGGCAACCTCACAGCAGACCCACACAATACACAAAGAACTGAAGTAGGTTTTTTTGAATTTCACTGGCATCTTCACTGAGGGGTTCTTAGGTGTCATGGAGAATGCATTTTTTTTTCAAGAATCTTGGTTCTCAGCCCTGAAAATAGATGAAATAGAATTTAAAAATTGAATATTATGAATGTTCTAATAAGGTGGAAAACTGAGTTCTTGAACATCTATTTCCTTAAATAATTAACACAGTCTTAGACTTTCATGCGTTAGAAGTGCCTTGTAATTTCAGGCATGTAAATGGGGAGAACAGGTAAGTTGCCATCTAATGTGGGACATTTTGGGAAATAAAAGGAAACTTAACTAATGACATGGGGCACAGGAATAAACCAAGCTCCCATGAACATATCACAAGTATGGAAAATTCACAATCGCTGCTATTTTTTTCTTTTTAATCAAGACAGAAGATTTGTAGCAACATCAGGAAATGTATAGGCTGAATTTTACATTGTACATCTCAGAATAAACAAAGAAGTTAATTTTTTTTTAAAAACAACTTACCTCTTCAAGAATTTTTCCACAACGGCCTGCACCCACTTTTTCTTGGGGTCCAGGCAGAGCTCTCTTCCATCAACAAGAGTCACACTGAAATGAGAGGCATGGTTAACATCAACGTGGGGATTTAGTTTTCATATCAAATCACAGTTCCTTAAGTGTAGACATGAGAACCCAAGTCCGAAGCAAGCTTAAGCTACTAAGCAATGATGGTACCAAGTTGAAATGTGTAAGCAAAAATTTCTGTCCTATTTTGCTCACTACTTTATTCCTAGTGCCTAGAGCGTTCCTGGATACTTCCACTTTCCTCAGTCCTAGGTTTGCTAAAGCAAATTTTCTAATCATTTTGAGAGTACTTACATGATTTCTGAATTGGCACAGCGTGGTCCACTCTCAATTACCCTCAATTCTTTGATAAATTTGGGGTGGAAAGGTGTGGAGTGAATCTTGATGCACTGGCATCGAAGCTCTGTACCAATCTTTGGCACAACTGCACCTGTGAAAAACAATAAAAAGGAAAAGATCAAGGATTGATTCCATCAACAGGTACGGCTCTGCTAATGACTCCCTCTTGATCCCAACACGATTGTCTGGAGACTAGAGAAAGCCTCACATTTCCAGTGAGCCCATTCCTGACACTGAAGGTCAGATATTTTCCTATAGCCTTTGGTCTCAATTTTACTCTTTGCTCTAAAAACGTTAGCACTGAAAATGTGGAACGGCATTCTGTACGTTGGAGTTCTTTCGTGTTATGTTGATATGCTCATTGCCCTCTTTCTTTTACTCAATATCACATAATCTTCAACAACACCAGAATGCTATTCATTGTAGGCAAACCGATATTTGCAACGTACAAATTGCTTCAGAAAGAATTAATAGAAAATATAAGTGAAATGCTATGTGTCTATAAAACCCTCAGTGCTTAAAAGAAAAAAATATAAAAACTCCATGTTCTAAGCACAATTCCTGTAAAGGCTTCACAGGAGTGAAAGAGATCTATAATCAGCGTATCCTTAAACCATATAGAAATTGATAGTTATTTGAGGTTTGTCAAGAAAGTACTACATTGAGTTAAATTGTCTGAGTTATCTTGCTCAGTAGTAATAGATGATTTGGGTAAGTGTGGCCCTCACCAGGATATTCTGCAAATTACAGATTTTATATATACATACATATATATATATATATGTATATATATATATATATATATATGGAACAGAATATTTATATTCTTTTTTTTCCTTTTTTAAGAAAATAAAGCTTTAACATTAAATAGCTGCAGAGATTATTTTCCCTTCCTGATGCTCATTTTCTATGCATGAAAGATGAGCTTGCTGTGTAAGGGCCACAGTTAGCCACAGAAGAACGCTGTGGACAGAAGCACTGCTTACCCTCGCACAGAGCTGCAGAGAGAAGGACTGCTGCCAAGACGGCCAAGGCGAGCTTGGAAGGCATGTTTACTCTGCTGAGCTGCTTCCTTCCGGTTTCCTGTATCTCTTGTTCTCGAAGCTCAAAGCTCCTGTGCTCTACTGCCTCTGAGGATTTGTGTTGGATGGAGAGCTTCCCTGGCTTTTTATATCATCCCAACACTAGAAAATATATGCACCCTCATCCTCGCATTATGTCAGAGGAAATTCCACAACATGCAACCACGACCCGCCCCTGAGGCCAAACCTGAGTCATCCAACTTCCTCGATTGGATTGGTTCCTGATCACATTTTAAGTGCTACCAAAGTGTTTTTTGATCTTTAAGATAGTTTTAGTAAATGTGTTTTTAAATATTCAAGTTTCTCAGTTTGATAAATTGCTGTCAGTGGTATTCCTTTTTATCTATGGCTGAAGATCATATGTAGTACTCCATGAGAGAACAGAGTTGTCAAATCAAAAGCACTGCGGATTAGTTTTTCTTCTTTTTTTTTTAAAACAGGATCTCACTAATTAACTGAGGGTGGCCTTGAACTCTCCTGCTTCAGTCTCATGAGTAGCTGGGAATACAGGAGAACCCTGCCTTGGTCTAATGTTTCTCTTTCCTAGAAAGTGTTACACAGCAGTGAGCTCACTCACAGAAGGATGTATGGAGGAGAGTGCCACTTCCAGACACTTTTTACAAATACTTTTCACTAAAAACTTTTCACAAAGTTTGTGAGCAGTCTTATTCCTTTATCTTCAACCAACCCAAGGCTGAGGACAAGTGGCTTCTGGATTACAGTACCTTCCACGGCAAAGTAAATGTTCATTCTATGCAATGCAGTTCTCATTGTTCTAAACTCTAGTATTTCAAAAACTTAAGTACCCAGTTATTCATTTATAACATATTGATTGTATTGTAGTAGATGTAAATTTATAAATAAAATATAGTGCTTGGTATCAAGAAGTTTGTAGTCTAGTTCTGCTTCTGAATAATTAGCCACACAAGCAAGCACCATGTGGTGGTGAGTGTTTAAATGCAGACAATGAAAGCATATTCTAAAAACCAACAAATGGGACTTTTGGTACAGCTTTGATGAATGAAGTTTTTCTGAAGAAAAATATTTCAAAACTGTGACTTATATTGGTGAGGAAAGGAGAAAGAAAGGCCAAGAGGAATGCTTTTACTAGTGAGGAAAAAGTAAGAACAGAGCAAGTGAGATTTAAGAAAACATGGTCTCTTAGGGTTAAAATTGCTTAGTATACCGAACACAATGTGTGGAGTAATGAGAAGAAAATGGGGCCAGATGCGCACGTGCGTGCACACACACGCGCACACACTCACACACACACACGCACATTTTCAGTAAAGTCTATCTTTTGCATCATTGATATTGACATGTTTAGCAGGGACACACCCTGGTGCAACTCTTCAGTTCACCAAGACGCCATCATATCATTGGTACGACTAACATGCTTAGTGTGTGGCATCTGTGTGAATACTCTAGTCTTCCCACTTTCCTGTTTTTGCTGCATCCCACTTACACTGGCCTCTATTTCACTGCTCATTTCAATCTCCCCATCTCCTTACCTTCCTGCTGTTATAGTCCCCATTCATCCTGACTTCATCCTTGGAGGTTGAGCAAGTGGTTTCCATTTATTTTTGATAATTACATTTATTAAAATGGAACATTTACAAGGCAGAAACTCCTCTGTCTCTCAGAATGTAACTTTCAAAACACTGTCCTAGGACACCTCCACCCCCATAAGAGGTGGAGACAGACAAAGACAAAGTGACTGTAGAGGACAGCAATTTTATCTAAGTCCACTTCTGTAAAGGTAACCTTTCGAGTCATTGCATCAAGAAGGAGCAACTAAACTCTTGGGGATATCCTGCTTTAACACAGAGCTGACTTAAGTACTAAGGTTGACTAAAGCGGCACCTAGATAGAAGTACAAATGATGCTTTGTCACCCTGTTGAGGTGAATACAGAGTTCATGGGGCTTTGACAATTGTTTATTTGGTTCCCAACCAACTCTTGAGCCATGAGAATCGTTTAGCCAAGTCTATCATCCAAGAAGTGGAAGCTGTAGAAAGATCCAAGAGAAAGATAGCATTTGCTTTTTCCCCACATCAATGCATAACTCTTCTTACATCCAATTCCCCATAAAAATATAAATGTCTTCCTGCTGTATCAAACCACCTGAGACCCTCTCTGATTCTCACTTCGAATAGGCATTTCATAATTTGGGCTTTTGTGTAAGCTTGAGCAAAGCTTCATTCATTTAACAAGCAGAGTGTGGTGGGGAAAACATGGGATTTTCAGGAAGATGAACTTGAGTTTGAATCTTGCCCATGCTTATTAACCAAGAGACCTTGGGGAAGCTGATTCTATGTCTGTGTTTCAATTATTGCTGCTAAAATCAGAGACTACTTTAAAGGTGTTTATTACATTCAAGAAATAAAATCTCAACCCACATTTCCCTCTGAGGGTTTTAGCCTCAGTTTACCAACCCTCTAGATTAAGCAAATTGTTAAACAAATATGAATTTAACTTACAGTGCTGTTAGTGCTAAAAGTCATAAACATACCTACTTAAATTTTGGTGAGTAAGACTCAGTGAATAGACTTAAAACATGTTCTCAGATCTGTGCTCAGTTAATATGATAATTTAATCTGGTCCAGTACCCCAAGAACATTTCAGATCCATCTTCAAATACAAATGAGAGTTTATAAAAATACTAAGCCCAGTTGGTCCATGGGCTAGGAGTGCCCCACCATTGAAATCAGAGCTCTATTTTCCAAAATCTTGCCAAGTGGAGAAGCAAATCCTGAACACACTAGTTTGGGGCAGCATCAAATCAGAATAACCTGGCTTTAAGGGCGCACATAGGTGTTGAAATAGGATGAACCAGTACTTTCCAGCACCTCCGTTTACCATTAGCCAAATGACTTCAGAAAGTATTATTGACCTCACTGAGTCTCAACAGTAAAAAGAAAGCACCACAGTTCCTTAGGAAGATGACTAGGATGCTGGCCGGTATACTGGAACTGCTCAATGTGGTTTTCGTTTCCAGTAACCTGTCTCCTACATAACACTTACCTCCCTCCAGGGTGAGAGAACATTTGTTTTTAAAAGCTTACCAACCGAAAAGAAAAGTTCTCTCAACACACTAGATTTCTAAAAACTTATATAGCTGGGCTTTTTTCATTATAGAAGCTTTCTTTCTTTCTTTCTATTTTATTTTTTATTTATTTTTGGTACCAGGGATCGAACTTGGGACCTTGTGCTTATGAGGCATGCGGCAGAATGACTGAGCTAAATCCCCAGAGAAGCTTTCTATTTTATGCCTAATAGTTCACTTCACATTTATGTGCAAAAAAAGATATTATAATTATTGATCTACACAGAGAATTGAGTTCCATCAAGAACCTAATCAGTAGAGTTGGGAATTTGAAGGACAGGTTTGGAGAAAAAGGCTAGTGTGAAAACAGGTATTTATTAAGGATTTGGGAAATCTAAGATCAAACTGTCTTTAATATGAAAGAAAACTTCAAATACAAATATTTACTTGTGGCCATTTCTTCCTCTGTTGAATTTATTAACAAACATATGTATACACCTATTTTCTTTGTTAAATTTTGTTGAAAAAGATTTAGGCAGTGTTTACTTATGTGTTTATAGTAAAAGATATCATTTGAATGACAATATTATATATTATTTTTAATGGGGTTTCTTTCATTCCAAGTGAAGATCACAGAAAATAACATCATTTGGCAGAAAGAAAATTTTCTATGTTAGAAATTATAGGACTGATGCACATATAATTATTGAGAAAAATTAGATGTGTGCCCAGCCACTAAGGCAACTGACCAAGAAAAAAAAAGTTTCAGAAATGCTGAACAGGTGGTAGGATTGTATAGTGAAATTTTTCTTTTTTTCCTCAAAGTTACTTTATTATTTTGATAAATAGTTTTTATGGACTTGTGACTTTTTAAAAGCCAGGGCAATTTGAAGAAAGTGACTTAAACGGAAAAACGAGTCTTATGGCATAATTCCTATATTTTGTTTTTTACAGTGTTCCTTTTTATAACATTGATTTAAGTTTTGGTTTCAAAAATACAAGCTTCACCTTAACTATTTCTTCTGCCCACTTTGACCATAGGGATTGTTGAAGTGTTTATGATAAAATTTGACCTCAATGTAAATTCCATGTCAGTGGATTCCCGAGAATATGATGAGCCTTCAACCTACAGTGATGTCTTCTTGACATTGTCTCAGCTACTGGACTGGAAATCCTACAAGCTCAGAGACCAGCCTCCAGCCAGGGCCCGCACATCACAGACGCTCTGTGGAAGTTTCCTGAAAGCACAAATTCCCCAGTTCTCAGAACCACTCCAAACAGGAGCAATATCAACAAAAGGAAATAAAAGGGCTTATCTTTGTTTGTTTCTGTTTTCCCTGGAGAACAATTATTTTATTTATATATGCCCAGGAAAATGTAATAAGGAAAGTACAGTTTTAGCTCATGTTACAATTTAGTAATGGCACATAGATAAAATAATAACCAGTCCTCCCTTGGTGAATTAACCATCTACTCTTTTCCAGGCTCCTCCAGGGCTAGAGTAAGAGGTAGTAGAGTAGGTTCCATTAGGATAAGAGAGCGAGAGCAGCCTGTATGAACTGCCAGCAGCTGGGGCTTGGTACTGCACAGGGTTCTGTAGCTTCCTTCTTCCCAGCACCTGTGTTTCACAGACTATGGAGCTGAGTGGGTGAACATGGATTGCGTCCTACAGAGTGAGTCTAATTATCCTTGATTGTGCTTACAATGCACAGGTCAACTTCTCTTTTAAGTATTGTCTCAGTGGTTATTATCCTTTTCTATTTTAACATTTAATTCTTTGAAAATGCAATAAAAGGTATCCTCTGCTCACTCCCAAATCCAAGTGTGGAAAGTGCAAAGTTGTACACAGAATTTCAGAGAGCTGAACAACTTCCATTACAAACCCTTACATGTTAAAATCAATCAAAAGTCAGTCGAAGGTAAAACACTGGAAAATAACAATTTGATTCCTGTGCCTACCATCTTTAAGACACTTTAACTGAAAGGGAAATGATATTCCATGACTGGATCTTGTTCTTTCTGGATATGCTCAGGTCAGAAAGGCCAA